GAATATTTTAGAAGCAGCAATGGCTTGTCAAATTCTCCTCATGCTTGAAATCTGTTTTTCAGGGCTCATCTGATTACACTGGGCCTGTCTGAATAATTTCATCATTTTTACTGGTTCCAGAGATTAGAGCATAGACATTCTTAGGGGTTTATTATTCTGTTTACCATACCATCTGTTTCTGTTCAGGCTGAACTATATTGCCTTCTTATGACACAGGTTAGGACCAGTAATCCCATGAAATTGGAGATAAAAGTTGGGGTTTTCCTAACTTGAGAAAATAATAGTTTTAAAGTCCGTATCTTTAACCTTGTACCAACATTCAAGTGATGAGTTGCAAGGTTTAGGGAAGGAGAAGAAAGGGGATGATAATGATGATGATGATGATGATGATGATGATGATGATACTAAAATGGGGAGGCAAATAAAAATTCAGTTCCACGTGATTAAGCACCACAGTGGCAAAACTTGATTATACTCAAAATCAAAATGCCAATTCATTAAAACTACCAGATTTTAGTGCCCAATGTGTGGGCATATCGTACCCTTCAAAATACCAGTTCTGAAAGTCTTAAACATTTAAAATCCAATTCAATCTTTTCCCAATCATCAAAATATTATTAAATATTACTTTCAAATGCCTTTATAATGGTTTCACAGTTAGCATGTTAATGTTAATGACTTGAAGTACTGTTTCCTGAGTACTTTATGGCTGATAAAAGTTTTTCAGGCCAAATACCCTTTGACGGAACTTTAGAGGTTAAGCTAATTATGTAGTTTGAAGAATTCCAAATGTTTTGAGAGAGAGAGAGAGAATGGGTACCAAGTTATCAGAACACAAACAAAACACTGAAAACAATTTTGTCAAAGCCAAAGATTCTGAAACTGAATGAAAAATTTCTGAGTGGAACCTAATGATTCATCAGACTCAAATACTGTTAACTTAAATATCTGAGTCTGATGACTCATTAGGTTCCAACTGGAAATTTTATCTAACTTCACATATCTGTATTTTTACTCAGATATGTGCAAAATAATAAAAACTAGGAGACAACTCAAAAATCCTAATTATGAAAATTCAAAAGAACCAGAATTAGAAGTGAATGATTAAGTCAACGAATTTCTACCAACGATCAAAATTTAAATATTCCAAACATAATCGTTATTCACATATTTAAAGATTTCAGGTATGAGAGAGTTCAGTTTTGGACACAGACTACTGCAAGAGACTATTACTCCCACTCGGAAAAAAAAAAAAAAAAAAGTCATAATATTTTTTAAAGGTACCTAAGAGCTGAGTTGGCAAACCAACCAGGTAACCTGAATTCCAAAATGTGACAAGCCCCTGAGGACAGTGGCATACATACCAACTGCTTTACCTTTTGCAAGGCATGAAGAGAAGAGGTAGTAATCATGTAAGCATATAAGAAAAAAGAACTAAAATTTTACTGAATTCTTAAAGATTTCATATATAGAAATTGCAAGACATTTTGATAGAGAATAATCTGTAAAGTCCTTCCTAATAATAAAATAATTTAAAACAATGAATAGCTAACATTTAGCATGTGTTCACAAAATTTTAAGCATTCTATTAACACTAGTACCTATCATGCTTTGTCAAATTAGACCTCACAACCTAGTAAGAAAGGGCTGTTCGTTTCCTTGCTTAACAGAAAAAACAGCACAGAGAGGTTAAGTAACTTGTCCAAGTTAATAGAGCTGGTGAATGGTAAAGCTGGGACTCAAAGAGAGGCATCTTCACTACAGAGCCTGGATCATAATTACATGTCTCTTCTCTAATCTAGACACAGTTTCTTAATACAATTTAAATGGCTAATTAATGATTCATTTTGTTCAGTCTTCACAGGGAACAAATTAGAACATTTTCCCATTTCTTTTAGATATATCAAGACAGAATGCTAAGTCATGTTTAATACAGAATTTAACACAAACATTTTACCTTACAGATTATACTACCATTACTTGAATTAAGGGTAATGTATGACTGTACTCTACATGGGAAAAGTGGAAAACATAGAGTAAATTTGAATCCGTTTGTTCTTGCCCCTATCTGCCTATCTTAGAGCATTAAATTGCAATGAATTAAAGATCTACTTAGTTCCAAGCATCATTCATTCATTTAGCAAATATTTACTGAACCCCTACTATTTGGTGAGCTCTGTTCAAGGGGCTGGGGATACAGAAATCCAAGCAAAGTTCCTGACCTTAAAAGGTCTAGTGGGAAGAAACAGGCAATTAAAAAAAAAAAAAATTGGGGGTGATAAGGGCTATGTAAACAGGTAGCTGCCACCACTACAGAGAATATCAGTTCTGGAAATAATTATTCACGATTAGTTTGGCTACATGTAACAGAAAAGTCCAATATACCTGAGACTTACACAATGCAGAATTTATTTCTCACGTAAAAGAAGTCTTGAGATAGGTGGTTATGGTAAGTTATCAGATTATCAGAGGCCCAGGCCCCTTCTCTCTAGTCCACATCCTTAGCGGGTGGCTTTAATCCTTACGTTCCAGGACAAATGCTGGAACTTCAGGAATCCTATCATCATCTAGACAGCAGGATGGAGAAACAAAGAAGGGTGGGCCTTCTTCCTTTTAAAGAGATGTAAGAAACGGCTGGGCACAGTGGCTCATGCCTGTAATCCCAGCACTTTGGGAGGCTGAGGTGGGCGGATCATCTGAGGTCGGGAGTTCGAGACCAGCCTGACCAACATGGAGAAAACCGCTCTCCACTAAAAATAGAAAATGAGTTGGGCGTGGTGGCACATGTCTGTAATCCCAGCTACTCAGGAAGGCTGAGACAGGAGAATCGCTTGAACCCGGGAGGCGGAGGTTGCAGTGAGCCGAGGTTGAGCCATTGCACTCCAGCCTGGGCAACAAGAGTGAAACTTCATCTCAAAAAATAAAAATAAAAATAACATCAATCAGAAAAAACAAGATACATCAGTAGCAATCACAATGCAGTTCTTTATGACCAGATAGCAACCTCTATGTACCTACTAAACTCGTCTTCAATGGATACAATTCCTTATGTTAAAAAGAATCTAATGTACCAATTTAAACTTGCATTTATTATGTTAAGGCAATAGTCATGATTAGAAGGAATGCAAAAAAAAAATTATTCCCATATTAGGAAGATGAAGTATTTCTGTTACCGGGGCAAACTATTAAACTGATTTTCAAAACTGACAGGCTCTCCCTGAAGTCCTAGAGAGGATCTTGTGTTCACTAATTCAGCTGTTGCAAGTATTCTAGTTCCCCAGGTAACTCCTAGTAAAACCAAGACTGAACAAAGCTATTTCTCATCTTTAAATTTAGAATCATCTCATCGATTCCTATCTATGAGATCTATGTCTGAAGTGGGCTCTCCCAATTATTTTACATCTCAAAACTGTTTATTCTCATTATGGCATCTTAAATATTTTTGTTTATTCTTTCTCCTCCATTAGCTTACAGGCTCTCTCTATTTTGTTCCCTTTCCTGAAGGAAACTATAATTTTTTGTGTCAAAAATATTTTCTCCTACGAGTTGCAATCTTAAGGGCAAGGATGTAGCTTCAAAGGGAGGCAAATGCTTTCTCCTTAGCCAAAGTAACACAAAGGTCACTTTTCGTAAAACATCAGGATATTGAATTTTAAAATGTTTTCCATACAACATTAGTTTAATGAACAGCTCAGCCTAGTATTCTGCACCTAGTTCCAATCAAAACCAAGTTGTGAACAGATCCCTTCTTTACACCAATCTCACCTTTCAAGAACAAGCTAAAAGTTCATTAATTCCTTCCTTAAGAGGCAGTTACTTTTCAAGCTAAGGACCAAGCTAAGGAACAAGCACATATCCGGGCAAGGGAAGTTTAATTTCACTATAGAGCAAATCATTTTTTCAAGGAAACCAGAGGGCGTGTCATACAGCATCACTGAATATTCTAATATGAGATGAAGCTGTTATGCTTCCTTATGAACTTTATAAATCTTCATTTTTATGAGGCTTAGAATTCATCCCCCTTCCCTCTTCCACTGTTTTCCCGGGGTCACAGTTGTAGTATAGTTTGCCCAATGGATTTCGCATGGTCATTGTACCTGGAATATGTCACGCTCTCTACTCCAACCGCCCCCAAACTCTTCTCAGCAGAGATAGGCTTAAAGCAGCTTGCTTTTAGGCGGCGACGCAAACACACGTAGCCAGTTGAGAGACAGCAAGCAACCAAATGGCTTTGCTGGAGGCCCCCTGCGTTGCACGGGTAAAGCCCGTTGCAAAATACAGTCCTTTCATTTATTCCTGTTACTATTTATGAGACCTGTCAAGGCTGCAAGGGCATGCGCAGCCTTCCCACCACACAGGACCCGCTGGGGTCTCCGGCTCCCCTAAAATTAAACCACTGTCTTTCGTTCCGACTCATGTTTAGCTGTTGTGCGTATTTTACAGATAAAGGAAGGATCCTGTCCACAGACCCAATTCTAAGGGCCGCCTTCTCCCCGACGGAGGAAGAAGCTTCCTGGCAAAAGGACGAACAGGTGCGACGCCCACAGTTCGCAGCCTCTCACCTGGCCGGCGGGCTGGGCTACTGTCCCCACTCAGCAGCTAGGGACGTGGGCCCCGCGGCGGCGGCCACTTGGGGTCTGCCGGTTCCCCTCTCTTTCCGCCTGCTCTCGGCCTCGGACCCCACACTCAAAAGCGCCTCACGCGTTCCGCCTTAGGCTCACTGTCCGATCTCGCCAGACAGCGTCTGGATGGGACCGGGAAACGGCGGCCGTCACAGCTGTTCAGGTTCTGGGATCCACGCTCAGAGACGACAGCGCTGGCGATCACCAGAAGGCCTGCCGGCTCCCGGGAAAGAAAAATCCGTCCACAGTCCAGCGGCTGACATTTCCCAGTCAGCCGTAGCGCCGCCCGCTTCCGCCTCCCCGCCTACCCCATGGGCCGACCAGTCCCGCTCCCGCGGGGGGTTGTGGGTATCTGGAAGGCGGGTAAAGCTGCAAGGGAAGGAAGTAAGGGCGAGCCCGTTGGACTACGAAAAGGGACGGAAACTACAATTCCCAGCAGGCCGTGGGGCCTCAGAATGCGGCCGCGAAGCAAAGCGGGCTGTAGAGTCTTGCGCGCGCGGTGGGGATGGAACGTTGCTAGACTTAGCGGGTCTGGCTCCTGGGGGTCCGAGCAGCACGCTCGGAGCCGCCGCGCGCCAAATCGGGAATCCGGGAGGCGAGCAGCTCTGCAATTAATGCACGTATTTTAAACTCCCGAGCCTGCGGACGCTATGCACAGGTAAACGGATTCAAAAAGGGGAAGAGCATGAATGGACCCTCTTAATAATTCTTTTAGGCCGCGAATATCGCTACTGGCTAATATTGTTAGTAATGCTGTTAAGTGAATGGTTGCTTAGCCCCTTCTTGGGGAAAGTGTGAATGGATGAATGCCTTAGTGCGGGGATCAGCGGGCGGTTTTATTTGGCTTCCCTAATTGGGCTTTTCTGCCACCGTTTTCAATCAGTGTATGATTGCCCTGTCTCTCTCCTTGTCTGTTCCCTCCACTGGGAGAAATTCTTGAGGCCTTCTGCAGGATCGTAAGTCAAAAAGCCTTCTCGATTTGTTCTTTTCATTTCTTAATTTTCTTGGTAACTCTCCGCGGGCACGTAAAAAAATGCGATTCTGTTAGCTGCTGTGAAGGTTTTCCACAATGCATAAACTGCAGTTTCTTTAATGCCTTCCTTGGAATTATTTATGGGTGTGTTTTCGAAAGGAACCGGGGGTATTGTGCACTTCTGCAGGAAGCACCTCCAGGAGATTCCAGACCTGAGTAGCAACGTTGCCACCAGCTTCACGTGGGGATGGGATTCCAGCAAGACTTCTGAACTGCTGTCAGGCATGGGGGTCTCCGCCCTGGAGAAAGAGGAGCCCGACAGTGAGAACATCCCCCAGGAACTATTCTCAAACCTGGGCCACCCGGAGAGCCCCCCACGGAAACGGCTGAAGAGCAAAGGGAGTGAAAAAGACTTTGTGATTGTCCGTAGGCCTAAGCTAAATCGAGAGAACTTTCCAGGTAAGGATATGAGGGTAAAAATGTAAGTTATGCAAAGGGTGGATTTAGCTATGTTGTTGGGAAACCTTTGTTCAGGGATCTTTACCATGGGTTCCTTTTAAGATTGCCTAATTCTGAAGCTATTTTTTCAACACAATAGGGCAAGTCGTCAAGTATGCAGGAATCTTGGTAGGTATATGTGTGTGTGTGTGTGTGTGTATGTGTATATATATATGTGTGTGTGTGTGTGTTCTGGTGCATAATCACCTTGAAAATTTTAACCCATGAGAAGACATTCCTGCCTTTTTCCTTAGAAGGGAATCTGTCTTCCTAAAGGCCAGCTCGGTGCCGCCAATTAATAGAAACATAAAGCAGTGGTCTTCTTGTAGGATTCTTTTGCTTTGTACCCCTGAGTGAGCTTTTTGCCTTAATCACTTAAGTTATTTATCAGTGGACTGCTGAAGTGAACGTTCACCTAAGTGGGGGAGAATTATCTCCCCAGGCCCACTCCCACTCCCATATTATCTTCTCTGGTGTGTTCTGTCTCCATTACTGCTGACACTATCTGTTTAATCACCCAACCCAAAAACCTGAGAGTCAGTCCGATTCCCACCGCCCCCAACATCCACTCATTCATTGCATCTTTCCCTCTTCTCTGGTAACTATTTCTCAAGTTCTTATTGTCTCTTGCCTGAACTATTGGAGCGGATTCATAATTCCAACCTTCTCCCCAGATCTATCCCCTAGAACTAGAATGGATTGACTGAAAAACGATTTCTTCCCTCCTTAATAGCTCCCCATCCCCTAGTTTCTCAAGCAGTGAATGAGTGCCTCCCAGAGTGAACCAGAACCCTGGAGTATGCAAAAGCCATAGGGTAAATAAGGCATTGACCTGGGGTTATCAGTTTTTCTTACTAGTAAGCTATTTAAAACAGTAATGCAGCAAATATTTGCTGAGCACATACCATGTGCTAGGCAGTGTTCCAGGTGCTGGAGATACAGCAGTGGGCACAACATAAACATTTCTCCTCTCAGGGAGCATCCATTCTAGTGAGAGAATACAAATAAACACAATAACTATTTTGATATAGTATGTTAGAAGGTGATAAGTGCTATGGCTAAAAACAAAAATGGAACAAGCCAAGAGGGAATGCAGGTCCTGGGGTGGGAAGATAGAGTGTACTTTTAAATCAGGCATTGAGGGAAAGCCTCAACTGGACAGTGACCTTTAAGCAAAGACATAAAGGAGGCAAGGGAGTGTGCCATGCAGATATCTTGGAAAAAAGAGCTCCAAGCAGAAGGAATAGCCAATGCAAAGACCCTGGTGCATAAATGTGACACATTTGTTCCAGGAACAGGGAAGCCATATTCTAAGAGTAGAATGAGCAAAGGAGAGAGTTGGGAGAGATCAGGCTGGAGGTAATGTTGAACAGAGTTGTGATGGGACCTAATTTAACCTTCTAAAAAGGACACACTGACGTGTTGAGACTCAACTGCGGGGGTGTCAAGGGTAGAAACTTAGGGTCTTTTTAAAATTTCATATTTTCAAGATAGTCTTGCTCTGTCGCCCAGGCTGGAGTACAGTGGTGTTCTCTTGGCTCACTGTCTTCACCTGGATTTGAGAGATTCTCCTGCCTCAGCCTCCTAAGTAACTGAGACTACAGGCATGCACCGCCATGCACAGCAATTGTTTTGTTTTTTGTAGAGTTGGTGGGGGGGGGAGTCTCACCATCTTGCCCAGGCGGGTCTCAAACTCCTGGACTCAGGTGATCCTCCAGCCTTGGCCTCCCAAAGTGCTGGGATTACAGGAATGAACCACCACACCTGGCCAAAGTTTGGAGTCTTGTTGGGGGTGAGGGTGGTCAGATTCCAGATATATTCCGACATTAAAGTCAACAGAATTTAGGAGGCTGTTGAAATCATCTGTAGAAGAGGTGATCAGAGTCTAAACTGAAATCAGGTGGGGGATGATGGCGACGAAGAAACAGATTAAAGATTTAAAGACGAAGTCTTGCAGACCCAAGGTAATTAAGTATATTCATAAATTCCCCCATCTGGTTTCCTTTGCAGAAGGGTTGATAGATTGGTTGTTTAGTTGGTTGGTTGGTTGCTTGCTTTGGCAACACATATACTAAAACTGGAATACAGAGAAGATTAGCATGGCCCCTGCGCAGGATGACATGCAGATTCGTGATGCATTCTAGTTTTTTAATTAAAAAAAAAAATGCACATTTGTTTACAGGCTTTTCTTTAGGAAAGAGAACTTTGCCCAATTTATGGTTTGAGAATATATATCAGGAGTTGGATTAATTAGAGAAGCAGTAGAGGGTCGTAGTGAAGTCAGTTTTGGGTTTGAATCCTCATTCTTGCATTTATCAGCCTTGGAAAGTTATTCGAGCTTTCTGTGCCTTAGTTCCTTTATCTGTGAAATGGAGTGCTGTAATAATACCCACTTCATAGGTCGTCGTGAAGATTAAATGAGAGTGACGTAAAACCCTTAGCATGCCACTGACACATAACAATAAATAAGACAACAAAATTCCTGACACCAATTTTGGAGGCTAGTGGACTTTTATCTTTTGTTTTTAATATTGTTAGTCTGACCCTGTTAGTGTAAATTTTTTTTTCCTTCAAAATTTAGTGTTCACTGCTATTTTTTGTGTCTGGAATGTAGCCCTAACAATTTGGTGCTTGACCAACCAAATGTGGTGAAAGATGCTTCCTGCTAAGATGAACAGATTTTTATTAACTTGTCCAGTGCCGATAGCTTTTGACATAGAGTGTGATTGCCAAATGCCCTTCCACAAGTGAAAAAGATTTTTTTTTTTTTTTAAGCAAGGCACTGTGGGAACAAGACAGAAGTTTCCGGAGTCTTTGCTATCTCCCAGGAATTTGCAAGTCAAGTTCAGGAGAAAATAAAATGAAAAATAAGAGCAGTTCACACACAGCAATACATGGAGACTCATAGATTAGTGGCAGATGAGTAGCTTAGGCAGTGGGTGCTGTAGGGGGCCAGGGGGATCCTGTGCACAAATCACCCAAAGTGTCCCAGAGGCAGAGGCCTCCTACGGTGATTCCCATTCAGGTGAATGTGGAAGATCTTCCTCCTTCCACTCAGCAAAAAAGAAGGTTCTGAGGAAAGAGAGGGATCCGAAAATGGTGTAATCAGTGTCTTGATTGTTAAAGCTGAGTTCAAAGGTATATATCTGAAGTGAGAGAGAAAGAATGGTGACTTTTATGTTTATTACCTAAGGAGAGGCCCAGAGGGAAACCAATGTACGTGGACTTACACACAACAGAGGTTGCTTAATTGGTATGGAGTGGGAAAGGGTGAACTCAGTGATGCAGGATGAGGGACAGCTGCTATAGAGGATTCCCAATGGGCCTTTGGAAGCCTGGGCCTCCAGTGGAGCCGGATTGTCATTCCTAGGAGTTTTGTCTGCAGTTGTCAGGACAGGTGGCTACTGGCTTTGCCAGGATTAGGGTAGAATAGGCCACACCTGCTATACATAGATATCTGATGACTGGTTCTGGGCTGCAAGTTTTTGTTCTTTGCTAAGCAGTTTCTCCCTGCAGGCCCCAGTCCAGCCTTACATCTGGCAAGTAAATCCTCTTCATCTGTTTATCTTGGAAGATGAAAGCTCTGTGGCCAACCTGTACTAGAACAGGTCTGATTGGCCTTTGGAGTGAGTGTATGGAAAGAGCTGGGGAGGAAATGGCCCAGCAATGAGGTCAGTAACAGGCAGAAAGGGGACAATTGCATTTTATTTATGGTCATGAAATGCTTGTCCCCCACCCCACCCTTTAAACAGGTGATAGCCATGAAAATGGAGTTGAACTAATTTGTTGATCAGCTCTTCCATGACTCTTAAATGCTTGAAATTCCAGACCCTAAAGTGGTTGTCAGACTAGAGATACTAAAATTTAGTGTATATCAGAATCCCCACGGGAATTTGTTCAAAGTGCAAAATTCCTGAGATTCTGATCAGGGAAGTCCTGGCCTGAGCCTGGGAATCTGTGTCTTAATACCCTTAGGCAAGCATTTTTCTCCAACTTTTTTTTAACCAGTAAGAAACATATTTTACATTGCAATCCTGGGTATGTATCTGAAACAGCAGTTTTACAAAACTATATTTCCCCTTACTAAGATATTTTCTATTCTGTTCTAGTTCATTCTTTAAAATATATGTACATATATGCTAGTCAAGCTCACTAAATTGATTTCATGACCTATGTGAGTCTCAGTCTACAGTTACTAAAGTCAGCACTGGAAGAGCCTTTATGGGATCTTCACCAGTCATCTTTCTTTGTTCCATAGCTTCCTTTCATTCATCCATTAAGCAAATATTTCTTGAGCACCATTCTAGGGATTGGGACTACAACACTGAACATAACAGGCAAGAGACCCTGCCTCATAGTGCTTATACACTGTTGCATATTTTTTTTCCAAATCCCAGCTCCTGTTGTTTCTTCATTACACACCCTACACCTCAGGGTTGAGCAAGTCTTTCATAGAAATAAAAGGTTGTGGAACTGAAAGGGTACATGGGGGAATCCTCGTTAAGTTTGGCTGTGTTTTGTTTTTTCAGTTTTGCCCACCTTAGCCAAAAAAACAAAAACACCAAAAGCTAGCATGGTCTCAAATGTATTCTTTATGGTTTGTGGGAAGAGGAAGGAGAACTCATCTGGGATGGCACAATCTGTTTATAGTTCCCCAGAGAGAAAGCATGGGGTATTGCTACTTAAAACAAGCCAGCAAAAGCAATCATGAGGTGAGCACCCCTAACTCCCTGAAGAAAATGCACACACACACAAAAACAAGTATGAGTACCAGATCCTTAGTGCACATTTCTACAAGTATAATTTGATTATGCTTAAATATCATCAATTTTTTAAGTCAAAAGTTTGATTATGATTAGGATTACTTTGAATTTTCAGCTTGAATCTGAGTGGAGTGGAGTGATGTTCTGAGAAATAAATATGTCAAGTAAGATGAGTTACGTACACTGCAAAGATGGAAT